TAAAAATATAACATTTATTCTTGATTTAAATAGAATTAGTTTAACAAGTACTTAGGTTTGCTGCATCAGGGAGGGTAAAACTGTTTTTTTTTAAATGTGAATAGTTAGTAAGAAATAAAAACATTTTCCAAATTTGATCAAAATATGTTCACAAACAAGCAAACTACAACAGTTTACTTATTCTCCATAAGAATAACATGGGAATTTTAAATTTACAATTTTTTGGAATTTTCTCCGTAACCATTAGGCGCATAATAATGCTTCAATATACTAAATTATTTGTTTTTTTAAGCTCTACATAATGGTTTGGAAAGAAATTGCTAAATTTTACGTTTTTTGGGTCAAAAATGGGAAAAACCTATTTTTACCCCATAAAACCCCCCGTAAACCCCCGTTCCCATGGTCCGATCATGCTGGATCGCGAACTCGTTCGAATAAACGTACGTTTACACGTTTGTACCAAATTTCATCAAAATCGGATCATTTTTGCTCGAGTTATCGTGCTGACGGACACACACATATATATATATATATATATATATATATATATGAATTTGAACGGATGGTGTTTTTGGCCTCTAGGGACCTCAAAACGAAAAAAAAAATCGGTCCCGCGTCCAGGTCTTACCATGAGTACCGGTACTACGGTAATAGCTTATTCCCTATATGGGAAATTCGCTAAAAGCAAAACATATTGACAGTTTGGTCCAAACAATCTCATCCAAACAGCTTTTTTGTTATTTAGAATATGACGTATTCTCTAAACGATGTTTGGTATATGTAGTTAATATTACTGTAGAAGGAAATGTGAAAAAAATCACACAATGTTGTGTTTTTGAATGTTTTTAATTTGATTTCCTAAGTAGGTACCTAGGCCATGTATTCTAGGGAAAAGTACCGGTATCAAGGATCGTCGTCGAATAGGTTGTTATGAATAATTGGTTAGGCCTATGTACCCAAGATACAGTCTTATTGGCCTATTGGCTGTATGGTCCAGCGATTGTAGCACATAGGGGTCAGTAGAAACCGAAAGTGACACATTGGAAAAGCGAGTTTTGCATCATCCGTAAACCTCTGTTACAATCACCCACTGCAGTTATGATTTTTCACTTTACGCTTTACACAACCGCCATTGAAACGCTGTCAATTTAATAAACGTAAGTTTCCCAGCCCTATACATCACTGTTTCAAGGTCTTTTTCCCGGTTATCAAAGCTTCAGAGAAATTTTATACACATAGAATCTCTATTTCATTTTACACATTATTGAACTTGCGATTAATGAAATCCTTTATGTAAGGAAAATAGTTTTTAATCTCACTTGGTTTTGGATTTTGCTTTCAAAATGTGATCGGAAATGTTTGCGGTATTTGTAAACAACCTTTAATGTAAACATATCAGTGACAGCTAGAAAAAATAATCTTGATCCGAACAGCTGTTCGTTATTTCATTGATGATTAATTAAGTGATGAACATTGGACATTGGGAGAAAACTTGACAAAAATCGCACGAAGTCGGGTTTTTAAACGTCCGTCGTTTTATATACAAAGTAGTGACGCCATATTTTAATGGCTAAAGACAATCTCGCCAATCCAGTGAATACATTGAAATTATTTGGATCTTGATAGGTACTCTAGTTTTTCAGGAGAAGGCCGCGTAAAATGGCTCTTGGGCCGTAACAGACACGAAGACAGACAGAAATTTAGATGAGACTTGTTTCGGTTTGTTTAATGTATAAAACGTAAAAATTACCTACAATTTATTATTCTGAGCAATGTACAGACAAAACTCTAATTTTATTTATATAGATTAAAATTATACATGTGTACATACATTTTACGTAATTTATTTTGAACATTGTAGACTACCAATTTAATATACAAGGCGTTTATAAAATAATCATCAGGTTTTAATGGCATGTAGCTCACCCAATTCTTGTCCCACATTAATATTTGAAACATGTGCTTAAAAAACATTTTCCAAGTTTTATAATCAGCTGTTCAATAATCATCCTTAGTTTTTTCATGGACGTGTTTGCATCATTTTCAAAATGATAACAACAATTCAAGAAAAAAACATTCTGGTTTTTCATTATGACTCAAGTTAATTTTTAATTAACGTCCTGCGTGAGTTTCGGAGGCATTTTAGACGGACTCCTCCTGTACACCAAAGCATTTTAAGGTGGTATCGCCAGTTTAAGAACTCTGGAAGTGTATTTAAACGTAAAAGCAGGGGTCGCCCAAGAGTTTTCTTAGAAACTGAGGTGGATTGGCAGATGTAACGATAATGACTTGAAATTCCCCCCTAGATCTCCTTATCTTTTGGTGTGTGATTTTTTTCCATGGGGCTATGTAAAAGACAAAGTTTATATACCTCCAATGCCTCAAACACTTCCAAGATCTCCATGAACGCATTCGCAATGCTGTAGAATCAATCAACCTTGCGATGCTAGCCGGTGTATGGGACAATTTACAGCATAGATTGGAAACTTGCTCCACGACTAATGGACGACACATTGAGCACTTATAGGGGTATCTATGAAAAATTTAAGAGTTCTCATTTCTGTTAGTATATTTTATATCCAAATTTGTTTAACATTAACATCAATAAAATGTTTTAAAACCTGATGATTCTTTTATAAACGCCCTGTAGTTAAATAGAACCTTTTGTACTTTTGTATAAAATTATTTTATTGGTGATAAAATTTTATTCGCTTTTAAGATCTTAAATACTTGTATTTTATTTAAAATCCTAAATAAACTGTTATAAACTATAGGCTATGAACAACCGTATTCATTGCTAAATGATGTACAAGAGAAATTGGTCATGAATCTAATAACAAACATAATATTAATACCTACATCATGGAACTATTGATCACGTTTCTTAGATGACTCACTTACCAACATAAAATTATTGTGTTTCTGTCTGTTGTCAATAATTCTAAGTTACATTAACTTTCTGCCTAAATTTAAATAAATTTTACTCATAATTTTTCTTTTATTTGAAGTGCTTTTGACAATTAAAATAAGCTTAAACCCCTCTTTTTTTTGTTTCAAAACTGCCAAATTTTTACCCCCCATACCCCCCGGTGTTTGCCCCCCCCAAGGATTTGGTGAAATGACGCCACTGATCATTTTTGTTATGTTAAGATATGTAATTATCTGTCATTTCAATAATTTTCCTCTATGTTTTTTTTCAGCTGTGCTATTATTATCAATGCAGCTTTGTCATATAAACAAATAATATGAGTTTATAGGTAGATGTGAACATAGAAAAATGTCTAAATACAATTATTCTTTCCTGTATCAACAGTAGTTATTTTCTTTAATTTCAACATGTTATCATTCTACATTGTCTATCCTTATTGTCCCAATGATGATTTTGTTACTCACGGCCATTTCATAACAAACCAATGAGTAATGTATTACTCACAAATTTTGTTTTTTCTATTTAACCCTCCGAGTGTCCCTTGTTTTGGCCTTAATGTCTGCCTATTTTTTGCTCATTTGCAAGGTTTTATTAAAACGGATCTGAGAAGCTTGAAAACAATGTTAATTATACTGTTCTATATACCATTTTGTTTGGAAATTCATGGGCTTCAATATTATACATAAAACATAGGGAACATTTGTTTCAAAAAAAGTTTTTAGGTAAAAAAAAATATTTTGGAAAATTTTCAAAAAAAAAATAAGTTTGCGCTCAATGAAATTGTATAAATTATAGGCCTATACATATTTGAAAATCGCCACTTTGTTCTAAATTTTATGAGGATTACAAATATATAATAATATAAGGAAGTAGATTTGCAAATAAATAAGTTATGGGCAAAAAACAGATTTCGGTACATAGTGTTTAGCGAAGAATGCATAGCCTAACCATAGCTAGGAATCTGGCTGATAATTTACATCAATATCACTACCTACTTCTTCAGGATCATCAACCAGCCCTTCAAAATCACATAAATCTTCTTATAATGCACCACGTATATCATCACTACTTTTGATTTTTAACACTAAAACAATGCATCCGCAATTTCTCTGTCAAACTGTCAGTCATTTGGTTGGGGTCACTCTTCCGTCACTTTATTTACAATGTTTTTAAAGTCAAAAATGTTTAATTAAAACACAATATTCTATCAAATTTTCATCGTTTGTCTTGTTGATTGTTACAAACATTAATTAAATAAAATTGATCATTTAAATAAAAAAATTACTATTTTATAACCTCAAACACGTCCGTCAGGCGTCCGAAAAATCTAAAAATAACGGTGAAAAGAAATCTGAAGAAATTGACTGACAAACGCCTGCAGAGCTACTGACGGAACTGCAACGGGTGAGTGTAGATAGCGCTAACTTATAGAAATTTTTTCTGCAAAGCATTCCGCATGTAAGCTAAGGTCAGTGATATGTTTTTTAACTGCAAGAAACATATCGGCTGCAGACATTTGTTGCCAGATAACTGAAGTTTGTAATGATCCTAATGCAATGAGTGAGTGTAAAATGCAGAAATGGGTTGAGTTAAAAAAACGAAATGGGCAGTTTAAAAATGGTTGTGAAAATGTCCAAAGGAAAAAGGTTTTCATGGCTATTTCTACACTCCTATCACAAACTCCACTTCACCCTAAATCATTACATTAGGGCCATAACCTTCTGTCATCTGATGCTGGGTGTCGGCATCGGATATGTTTCTTGTGATCTTAAACCTTATCACTGACCTTGTCTCGCATGCAGCGTGGGGATTATAATTTTAAAAATTGTCGAAACACACAGCGAAGCGTACATGTCAGCTACAGCCATTCTGTTCACCATTGATGCCAGTACGCGGCATGCCAGTACATGTCAGCACTAAACATGTAACTACTAAAAACTGTGCATGGCACAAGCTGCAACCTCAGAGAGTTCAGATCTCTTCTCAAGTTTTGAGGCGTGGGGTGGGGTGTGGCTTATATTCTGACGATCAAAATGTTCATTGTACAACATTAATATGTAATTTTTTTCAGGCAATTGACTGGCAAGGATGTTCTTTCTAAATCTGACCCAATGTGTGTTACTTACATTAGACCATTTGGAGAAAACAGATGGGTAGAATATCACAGGACTGAAGTAATATCTAACTCTCATGATCCAGACTTTGCTGCCAAAATTCATCTGGCATATCGATTTGAAGAACAACAACCTTTAAGATTTGAAATCTATGATGTAGATTCATCAAGTCCTAATCTGGAAGAGCATGACTTCCTTGGTGCTGTCTCTTGTAATCTCGGTCAAATTATTGGTAGTGGCAAGGTAAGATTTGATAAAAATAATTGGTAATATTTGTAATACAGGCAAATCTTGAGCATCCAAATATTTCCTAGCTCAAGGGTGTTATTGAGGGGTGATATTGAAGAAAATTGAAATACATTCCTTAGCTGGTAAAAGGTCTTTCTTAGTTAAAGCTTTAAAATTTGTTTTAATCAGGCCAATAAAGCACTCTGATTTTGAAGTTCATTAAAAGAAATAATTGTTGGTAAATTGAAACTATTTTTCAACAATATACATTAACTGCTTTACAAAATTTTGTCGACACTAGCGCCAAAAAATATACCATCCATTATAGTGTACATCCATCCATTTTACACCCAAAAAATATACCATCCATTTTAGTGTACATGAACTAGACACGAAAAACGATTTTCAAAATTTACAATGGGATGAGAAGTCTACTTGTGTTTGTTATCTATGATGCTATCCTATACATATTCAGGCAACCATATTTAATATACTCTACAGTGGGATGATTAATATACATAATTATAATAGATAATATATAATTACAGACAGACGGAAAACTAGGCACCACAGACCCATTTTCCTATGGTGAAATGTGTTTGTCTTGACCTAAGGAATAACGCTATATACATATGTCCAGAGAGTTACGGGACACCCTGTATAGCCATAGATAAAACATACTCCCTTAGTAGATTTCCCATCCTTATGGAACAGCTAAAGCCAATTTTATTGTTAGTTCTGTCCGGTGCACTGTAAATGTTGTGTTTTGTTTACAATTTGTTTCTTGTTATTTAAGCCATTTAAAACCTCGTTTAACCAAATAAAACTAAATAGGCTAATCATAAACAATAACTTGTACCCTAGTATTGTATGATAATTGGATTCAAACTTGAAAGATACATTATTTTACTCAATCCATTCTGAAAATACAAGGCCTACTATATCTAGTATTTGTTTTTCATCTTGTAGTATGTCCAACAATCTGATGATCTGAAGTGCACTCTTATAGTATGTCCACATTTTATTTTACAATCAGGTTAGGTTTAGGACACACAGCATCTGTGCACAACAGAACATAACACCAAAAAAGAATCCGTGAATTGGCTAAAGGTAAAGTAGTTCGAGTTTCAAAAAGCAACCCCTTTGAAATTCTATACAAGTACAAACTTAACAAGGAAATAGAGTTTTTGACTCTTGATGTACGAATGGACTCCGAGACGCCATTTATCTGGGAACAACAACTTCTCAGTCTGAAGTACACCGAGCCTATTCCGGTTTCCAGTGCCAAGAAAAAGGATTTGATGTACCTACTTAAAGTGGGTGTAATCCCAGAAGCATTCACGCGTTTTGTCACTGAAATCCCTAGTTCGGGATCGGCAAGAGATATTGTACTTTACGTCATTGAGGAAGAAGAAGGAAACGAGCCTCTCACTGAAGTTACCAAAAAGAAAGAAGGAAGACGCAGTAGAAGAGATGTTATAGGGCAAGAAACCAGAAAAAGTAATGTAAAGAGACCAAGAAAACCAAGGAGGCTAAAAAAAACCCAAAAATAAAAGAAATTAAAACTTCATAAGAAAATAAAGTAATGTGTCTAAAGGACAGCACTGTTGAATGAACCCCATAAAGACTGACTCAACAAAATACAGTTTGTACTGTATAGGTACCATTTTACAAAAGGCACTACCTGATTTATTTCGTGCTTTGTTTAATGTTTTGTTTAGGCCTATTTGTGTTAAGTTTCTAATAGCTGGTAGGCCAAGTAATTTTATTTTTAAAATGTTAAAAATAAAAGTAGTCAACAATGTACGACAATAACAGTCATGGGCGCCCGCAGGATTTGGAACAGGGTGGTGCAATATATACGTCTAACGAACCTCCAGGGGTTCGGGGCCTTCCCCGGGAAAAAATCTAAAAATATAGCGTTTTAAAACATATTTTTACGCTATTTTGTAACACATAAAACCAACCAAAACAAAATAGTACATTGTGCATCAAGGACGGTCACCTGAGGGAGTCATTGTTTTTTATGCCAACATTAAAAATTAACCAAACAATTATAAAGAAAAAAAAATTATAGTTGAATAAAGCCTAGATAACAGCCAAGAAAGTTGATGTTTTGTTTTCTGAATAGTTTTGTTAAAGTATGAAAGTATACAAAGTATAAAAGATGTTTACATCTGTGAGTCAACTACTTATTTGATTTAAACATCAATTTAAAACATTTTTTAGACATGACCATTTTGAACATATGGTACCTTTATAAATTCCTTAAAACCCAAGTGATCACAGAACATTATGTGTATTAAATTTATTTCTAATTTTTTTAGCCAGAGGGCGCCCATGATAACAGTTGTTTAAATTTTTTATTCCTTACTAAAACCATCTAGGGGCAGTTTTTGTATTGCACACTCGTAGCATGTCCATAAATCTGCTCGTTCAGAAGTGCACACATATAGTATGTCCAACATGGTTTGATTTACAAATTATTTGTTTGTGGCTTGAATAAAGATAAAACTATTTATGTAGATGCATTTTTAATAAATGTGGCCAATAAAATTTATTCATTTCAAACATTTAACAGTTTTAGTTTAAAGTTCCCCCATAATACAAACTTTGTTTTTTTAGCGAATTTCCCATATAGGGAATAAGCTATTACCGTAGTACTCATGGTAAGACCTGGACGCGGGACCGGTTTTTTTTTCATTTTGAGGTCCCTAGAGGCCAAAAACACCATCCGTTCAAATTCATATATATATATATATTTATATATATATTTATAAATATATTTATATATATATATATATATGTGTCCGTTAGCGCGATAACTCGAGCAAAAATGATACGATTTTGATGAAATTTGGTACAAACGTGTAAACCTACGTTTATTCGAACGAGTTCGCGATCCAGCATAATCGGACCATGGGAACAGGGGTTTATGGGGGGTTTTATGGGGTAAAAATGTTTTTTCCCATTTTTTACCCTAAAAACAAAAAGTTTTGCAATTTATTTCTAAACAGTTTTGTAGAGCTTAAAAAAAGAAATAATTTAGTATATTGAAGCGCTGTTGTATGCCTAACGGTCACAGAGAAAATTCAAAAATAGTTTAATTTAAAATTCCTATGTTATTCTTATGGAGAAAATAAAAATTGTTGTAGTTTACTTGTTTATGGATATATATTGATAAAATTTGGCAAATTTATTTATTTCATCCCATACTATTCACGTATGGTCAAAAAACACTTTTTACCTTCCCCGTAGCAGCAAACCTAAGCACTTGTTAAATTTAATGTTATTTAAATAGGGAATAAATATGTCTTATTTATGGAAATATTTGAGTAAAAATGTAATCAGACAAGTTGAAATTCGCTTAGTCTGCAGGTTTGCTGCGGCGGGTGTATTGATCCTTTTAGCGAATTTCCCTATAGGGAAGTAGCTATTACCGTAGGTGGCACGGTAAGACCTAGACCCGGGACCGATTTACTTTTTCATTTTGATGTCCCCAGAGGCCAAAAACACTATTCGTTCAAATTTTTATATATGTATATATATATATAGACTTTTATATATATATATATATATATATATATGTCCGTGAACGCGATAACTTGAGTAATTTTTGTCCGATTTTGATGAAATTTGGTTTAAAGGTGTAAAGCGGGATAAACTTGAATGAGTTCGCGAACCAGCACGATCGGAACATGGGAACGGGGCTTTACGGGGGGTTTCATGGGGTAAAAATTGGTTTTTCTCACTTTTGACCCTCAAAACACAAAATTTCCCAATTTCTCTTTAGACCTTTTTAAAGAGCTTAAAAAAACAAATAATTTAGTATATACAAGTATTTTTGTTAGAATATTAGTAACGGAGAAAATTTTACACCCATGTTATTCTCAGTGTTGGGAAGTAGCGCGCTACAAGTAGCGACGCTACAGTAGCGCGCTACTTTTTTTGTAGCGTTAGCTGTAGCTACGCTACTTTTAAGATTTTGTAGCTTTAACTGTAGCTAGCTACATTTTTAAAGTAGTTGTAGCGGAATTTTAGCTACTTTTCTCGCTACATTAACATTGTTTGAGATAGTGATTTTTATCATAACCTCAACCTTACGTGAACAATCTCTTTCAAACTGAGATTTAAAAAAAAAAATTAGGCCTTACTTTCTTGGCTTCATACAGCTGGTTGCAGCCGTTTCATTCCCTATTACAACGTTGTGTGGACATGGAGGCCATTAAATGAGTGTTATCCACATTTTTGGCTCTCATTTCCTTAATTTATTACTCTATGATTACTGTCAGATAAAATAAAATCGCTAGATGCAGACGACGTTTAAACGTTACCGGTGACAAGAGAAGCTATTGAATGCTTGCAAGTGATTGACAGGGAAATTAGTAATCAATTTAGTTTGTTTATTATACCGATAGTGTTTCAACTTGGATTTTAATGGAAACCAACACTAAACCTTAAAATAATGAGAAAGCTGGTCTATTAACCTTTGCTTCAGCTGTTGATTGTGGTTCATCATCACAAGCCCTTCCTTGGTTAGATTACGAAGATTTTTCAAAGGTTTACTAAATTAACAAAGAGGAAATTACCTGATGTGATTTAAGATATGTATAGACTAAATGATAATTGTAACGAAAAAATCTCCATATAACATGAAACTTACATTGAAAAAATAGCATAGTTTGCTCCTGGTAACAGCTCTTGTATAGGACTATTAATTCCTAGGCTATGCTATGGTTTAAGACGAATACCAAGTTCCAAGTTCAATTATTAGGAATCCTATCTGTTTAGTCCTAGCAAGAACAAGCCTACTATAGCCAACTTGTTACATAGCCAAGTAGGCCTACATGTTATTTTTACTTTACAAATTTCAACATGTTTAAATTAAAAGCCAATTTCAGGATAAGTTACTGGATACTGTTTTCTGTACCAACTAGGTTGAAGCACAATTTGCCCTATGCATAATGACAATAAAGGACGATTTCTTGACATTGAAAAGTGTTATTCATAGTACA